GAAGAAAACTGTCTTAGAAGACTGTTGAATCCGTATCCAGAATACGTTAATATCTATACTGACAGTAAAGGAACAGGTTGTGCCTTTATTGTACAACCCAGTGGACATTCATCAAAACTCAGATTGAACAGTCTTACATCTATATTCACAGCTGAATCCACTGCTGATCCCACTATAACAGTAGACTTCCAGTTTAGAAAAACATGAATCCAAAGTCAAACCGATGATCCATCATTCATATAATGCCTAGTGACTGGCTGCGCGGACCCCTAGTTCTAATGCCAAAAAAAATATACAGTGTTCATAGTTTCAGAGGCAAATGAAGATTTTACCACCAATTTTGCTTCTTCCTTTCATAACTTTGTCAATTCGTGTGTACGAAGACAAAAAGTTTTTCATCAATTGCTCAGAAATCTATTGCCTTTCTCTGCTAGCTTCACATTTTTTATACCATCATTGCTTCCGTTTATTTACAGTGGCGAAGAAAATTAAAACTTTTGACTTAATTTAAGAACGCACTGTATAATAGTTTCACGCTACACCGTTGTGGAATGCAGTGTCAGTGCAATAACCATATCTCCCTTATCACTTAATTTTGGTTTCATGAAAATTGGAGCGAATATTGTTCTTTTGGAGCAGAATGAATGTAACACAACAATTTACATATTTTAATCTATCATTATAATAAAAATAATAATAATCGTCTTTATTAGGTACAAAAAACAATATGTTAACAAAAGTAATGATCGTTGTATAAATAAGTTGTGCATAAGATACGAATTATAACTGTCTTACAGTTTGAAGAGAATCTTACACTGAAAAGTTTTGCAAAACTAATTCAAGTATATTTAACCAAAATAAATATTTTCATTTCTTTTCTAAAATTTTAAAGCTTAGCAATTTTATGGCTTGTGGAAGTTCGTCATAGAGAATAACTGCGTTGTATGTCAAGCATTTACGAAAGAAGGCTGTCTTGTGAAGAGGCATTGTGGGTGTCTCCACAAATCGAATAACTCTTGTTTCAATATAACTCCTAGGTATCAGTTTATCCTTTAAAAATGGAGGAATGGCTATGAGGAACAGCTTATGGGTATAGGTGACTAAGTGTAACCTATATAGTTCTCTTATTCTTTTACTCTCAGTCATTTCATGTCACTAAAATTAGTGTTGATATGATCATACTTTCTCAAGTTATTAATCAATCTACAACACAAATTTTGAATTTTTTGGAGACGCATGAGAGAAGTGGAGTCTAAAAATGGAACAAAAATTGTCCAAATGTGCCCGAATTTTCCTTTAGAGAGGAAAACACGGACACCTCCTGGAAAAAATAACAGCACCCAAAAATGTCAAGTAAACTTACTCAGTAATTACCATTCAATTCTCATATATAAAGTATAAACGTGAATTCGATGAACTATGATTCCACACATCGAATGACAAGTTGATGAAGTAAATACACGGTAAGAATTCTGAATAAGCGTCTGTAGTGATTATGCATGAGAAATGTACAAAGTATTGTGAATGACTTTTAATAAAACTCGGATAGTAGAGTTTTTGTTCCCTGCTCCTTTGTCGTCCAGCCTCGAAGTGTATGCACAAACAGTATTTATATATTCTAGCTATGTAAGTCCAACCCAAAGCTAATAAAAAAAACAAAATAACGAATTCTGGAGATTTTGAGATACAGCTTTTTCTCACGGAGAGGGAGTGACTGTTTGTGCTGGGGTAAAAATAATATTTTCCCTATACAGGGTATTTTAAATTCGACCCTCACCATTGGGATCTCGGAAACTTCAAGGGATACGAAGTTACTTAAATAGCGGCAAAGTTGCGTATCCAGATAATCAGCAAAATTCTGTTTTTCTTAAAGTAATCAAGGTTTGACAACGTAATGTATGACGTATTATGCATTTTTTGAATCGAAATTGAAAACTCTATTCATCTGTGCAAAAATGCAATATAGCGTCCTTAAGAAATAATAAAGTTGATGCTGGAGGCAAGAGACGAACCGTCATATAGGAATTCTGATTATGCCTTCTTGTAGAGGAGAAAACGTGGCACTGTTAATCTGCAATTTATTTTAAAATCCCAATATAAATAAAGTCAGGAAAAAATCAGAACAGTTTTGGGAAAATTCAGTTTTGCCGTTACTCTACGGAAGTACTTTGAATTTCGAAACCTTGTGTCTTATCCCTTATAGTTTCCAAGATCCCAATGGCGAGGGCCAAATTAGAAACACCCTGTATATGCAGACTATTACTAGAAGAAAGAAGTGAAAATACTACAAGGATTTAATAACGTCTTTGAATAATAAAGGGTGTTATACACTAAAAAGCTAAAACGGCTGAACATAACTACAATTCTCAAGATCTGTTTACATAGCTATAAGATTCACAGAGTTTTCAGCATGGACAAAAAGAACCGAGACTACGAAAATACATAAAAGTAAGACTCAAATCGGATAATTTCGCATTTTGCAAATGTATCAAAAATTTTCAAGAGATGGTGATCACAAAAATCGTATTAATTATGCTTCTTGAAAGTTATGTCCTCTATTGTTTGGATTGTTCATACTCTATTCATAATCTTCATTTTGACATTACCGGGACAATAAACAAAATATTGAGCACAAAGCACTTTGGCGCTGGCTGATATTTAAAATTGAATTTCATTAAAATTTCTTCTGCCACTTGCTCACCTGAAAATGTTACAAAAACTTGCTTCTGTTGAATTGTGGCCCTGTTTTCTCTACAAAATTAAGGTTTTTGGGTTTCATTTTTTACACAGAAGCAGCCGCGCAGGTGCACCCTACATGCTAAGGCATCGCGGCTGCTTTCAGGAGCTTAAAGAAACTGTTATTTCTATTTTTGAACTGCCTAAACTTAGTAGAACCGGGAAAATCTCCTCATGTAGATTGTTACACTCTCTCGACACCCTCGGGACAAAGGAGCGATCTTATTGACCAGTTCTGGATGTACGAAGTTCGACACGCTTACGATGGGAGGCCGAAGTCAGGTAAGCACATGGAAGAGAGCTCTGAGGAGCAAAGCCCGTTGGCTTAGCTAGATCGCCAACGTCCCGTCGATGCGATGGTGTGACCAGACCGTCAATTAGAAAAAAGTAATCGATCATTAAATGCCTCTTGCGAAGCAGTTTTAGTCCTCAAGAAAGTTTCGACACACTGTGATACCTGTTACTGTCACTTGTTGACCGGTGTCTTCTAATCTGTCAGAAGGTTCTGTACGAACAGCGGATTAGCTGACGGCAAACAGTCAGAAACTGTACGAACAGGTAACATCTCTCTGATTCTGATTTTGACAGTCACCGACAAGTTATCGACTACTGTACGAACAAACCATAATGACAGTCTCTGATAGTCAGAATATTCTTGTTGGGAAGAACTAAATCTTGACGCTAATGATCTACTTAGATAGGAGCAAGAGAGGCATCAAGCATACTATTATGTGCTTTATTTAGCGGCCAGACAAATATTGAGGATTATCAGCATGAAAACCACAGGATAAGTTTCAAATGTTACATTAGCAAATAACTATTTCAAATCGTCGACCACACCAGTAATACGTTACAGTAGGGGTACAATTGTAGGGCGCGTTTATGGCCTCCTTGATTGTCATACTCCTTTCTCCCCTTCAAAAATTTCTAGATTACACTTGTCCCGTGTCAGGCTGATAAAACATGATATAACTCAAAAGCAAGCACAATTTGATGCAAATAGATGTTTGTGACATAACCTCAAAATAGAGTTCTGACACGGAGAAGTAGAAAACTATGACAATCAAGGAGGCCATAAAGGCGCCCTACAATTGTAGGGACGACTGACGATACGGGCCTTAGTTCACAGTGAAATTCCCACTATTCCAAAAACGAATATATACGAAATATATAAAGAATTTGAGGGGAAATAGTTTCCAAACCAGGCAGCTTTTACAAAATACGAGTATAGTATTTTAATTCTGAATTCCATAGCCTTGATCTGGGGCAATTCTTTAAGATTTTAGCTTATTGTTTAAAAACGATTTTCTCAAAGATAATTCAAATCTGCTACTATTGCTCCAAAATGGTCTACTTTCTGCAACAAAACAAACTAAGACCATAATCATACATCACATTCTTTCTATAAGCTGCAAAATAAAGTTCTTTTCCACTAGTCATCTGTGTTGATTTCTGTTTGTCCAAACAGTGTGTACTGAAAAGCTGCCCCACCATTAAAGTCAGTCAGGTATAACTATCTATTGGTGGGTGACACGTCATGATTATTAAAAGTTCCCAGAAATACTACCCCAATTAGTGATCGTCAACGATTATTGAGGGTAGCTCCATGACAAGCCAAAAATATTAATGCGTGACATAGGGTGTCAGGTGACGAGTATATTTCCTAGAATTTCGTATTTTGGTAATATAAAAGCATATGTCTTGATGTACACCGATTAGCTTCTCAATAAAATTTGCCGAGTTTTTTTAAATAAAATACTAATATGACCAATGTTTTGATAATTTCATATAAACAATGACATATGAATATTAGAAATCAATGATGGTGGAAATTGAAAATTTCGAATTCTCAAGTTCTTGAAAAGTCGAAATAAGCTTAAGTTTTAGTGACCTAACCAAGTCACAAGCACAATAATGGCCCTCTTTTCTAGCTAGGTATGTCCATATGTTCATGTGTCTTTCAGGTCGGAGTTGATTGTTTTTTTTTTCATCTTCGCTACTATACAGTGTGTTGAAACAACACCCTGAAGTGCCGCCATGTACCATGCCGGGATCGCGCGAAGTTTCGTTACAATTTTAAGATGGCACCGCATAAAACCAGCAAAGACCATTACCGCCTGGGATAGGTATTCCCGCTTCCAAAAGACGTCCAGATTCCCCCCCCCCCCTTCAACTAGAGGAGCTATAATATTTATGATATATCGGAAAAGCTTCTTGTAAAGCAATTATTACGATTTTAGCTTTACGGAACTACTATTAGTTACCTGAAACAGATTTTGGAGATCCTATAATGGAACTGCTTGTCGACTGCGATCTGCAGGTCCTGGACAATTTCATTTCGTCTCTCGTGTTTTCATAGCCATACCAGCCTAGTAACTCAGTCATTGCGTTTTCTGCAAATTCCTGTAAAGATAAGAGCTCTTCATAATCCAAAGCAAAAGACATGGTTTCTGATTGGAGTCTATTGATTTTCATATCTTTCGCATTAGATGCACCATTATTCAAAATAAGATAATAGAATTTTTTTATCCATAACGACTTATAATTTTTCAACAAATAATACACTCAGTTCTATTTTTCACGTCATGTCATATCGTGCTGGTTGAACCTACTCTATTAAGTTCAGAAACAATCTGCGATAAACAGTGGATTGTAAATCTGCTGAAAGTTATACCTTAAAGTTTCTGAGTTCTCACTGAAAGCGCACACAATTTAACTTCAAAAATATCATTACTCATAGCGAAGTAACGTACGTCCTAGAAGATTTGGCACAAAATTCATTTTCTTTAATTTTGCCAAACACAAAATAATATCAAGTTGCCTTTGGAAACAAAAGTTTGTTGACTTACTTTACTGTCAGTTGACATTTATTTATTTTGAAAATTTCACTTTAAGATGTCGTATAAATTAGAAATAAGAAAAAGTATCTACAAGTTGGCTGGGCGTGAGTACCGAAACCGGAAATCTGTCGAATATTCCAGAATGGAAACATTTCACGCAGAACCATTTATCAAACAATAACGGAGTGCGAGCAGGAAATACCATGTCTGAATCTCCCAAAAAGTGGAAAACCAAGTGCGTTTAAAACACCGAGGTCGGAGAGATTGGTGAGAAGGGCAAAAAGTCAGATTGGAATGACAACAAGCAGACTAGCTTGTCAATACAGATCTTCTAAGAGTACGATATCTTTTGAATTGAGGAGGAATGGTCTTAAATATCGAAATAAACTTAAGTGCCCCAAATACTTTCAAGCTCAGCTCCTTCGTATACCAAGTTGCTGTCGTCAACTGCGGCGGGTACACTTTGCCAATGGAATAATCATTAATTTAGACGACGAAAAGTATTTCACTGTCTGAAATGAAGGGAAATGACGAATTTCATACGGACAACGTAGAGGAATGCCATGATAATGTTGGATACAAACACAAAGCGAAATTTGACACAAAATCCTTGTCTGATGCGCAATTTCTAGTAGGGGTGTATCCCAACCTTTTGTGGGAAGAGTGAGGGGTGAAGCTTTGAACATTCAGAGCTATAATGCCTTTCCAAATTGCTTCAATTTCAGTCATGTTTTGGCCAGATCATCATGCCATTTACTGAAGAGATGCCCAAAACTGGCATCAACAACGCAACAAACCCTTTTGTTCCCAAAAACGATAATCCTCCAAACTTGCCACAGGATCGCCAATAAAGGATTTTTGAGCTTGACTGTCTAGAAAGGTTGATCATGGAGGCTAAGAAGCCCAAGATGAAGAACAATTAAGACGGCTAATTTACGAAAAACTGAGAGAAATGGATGTGAATTCCGTCCTGGACCTGGACATTCGAAGAAAGTTGTCTGGTAGAGAAGGCTGGGTCACTCCACATAATTCAATAGTATATTTTAGTATTAAGTTGTAATTTATGATAACTAGTTAGTGTTCGAATAGATTTCTTCATTCCAAAAAAATCGGATAAATATTTTGTGCCAAAACTTGTAGGACAGACGTTAATGCCAGCATATAATAAGCGTCAAAAAATCATCCATTTCTGAGATAAATCACTTGTTAACAAATTTAAAAAAATTCCGACTCTTTTGCACTAGTGCATATTTTTCTTTTCAGTTTAGACGCCAGATTTAAAGGTCTGGTGAAAATTTTTCAGAAATTCAATGATTTTAGTGATGTTAAATTGAAGATAAAAAGTTAAAGGGATTAATCATTGGATAAATCTAAAATCTTATCTGATATAGCTCAAACCCCCTTAGAAACTATCCTCGTAACCAATTCAGATTCCGCCGATGATAATCACTATCACGCAGCTATTACGTAGAAATGACAAAATAGTCATTTGGTCACTAGAAAAAATTCATCAATTGTAAAGACATGGTAATCTTTCATAAAAAAACATACCTTTTAAGGGGAACGTATCAACCAATTGCAAACATTGACTGCTAAACCAACAACTAACAATCTCCAAGTCACTGTACGGTTATACTAGACTAGCACTTGACATCACTAAGATCTTGGAAGTTCGGAATAGAATTGACAACAGATATTTTAATTTGGTAAGTTGAAAAGACGAAATTGTTGAAATTGTATACTAAAAAATTTACATAGCATCTTTTCCAGAGAAACTTACCTGAAGTTGAAAATTTCTGATAAATGTATTAGTTTCAAATTTATTTATCTACTGGTTCGACCTGTATGCAGTTATCCCAATGATTAAGGATGATTATTATTTATCAACTGTTATGTCTGCGGCCCAGAATACTCACAATTGTCAGACCTAGAGTCACAACTAGGAAGAACATTATGGATTAGTGCAAAAATGACGATATTTCTTGAAAAATGTTTTGAAATAAAATGTTCTAAACGATTTCCCGTATAACCCTGCATATTTCCTCGGTATTTTCATTTCTCATATTTATCTTCAGTCGTTCTTTAATTGTTTGATTCCGGTATATATCGGTGAATGCATCAGATACATGCTTATGAATTTCAAATAAGATTTTATCATTTTCTTTCATAACCATCTATACGACTAGTGGTTTTATTTTCGAGTCTGATCTGTTGTATCATGTTACAAGAGTAGCGCGTTTCGTTGCGTCTCCACTTACCCTGAATGCTATGGCGTTTGCGATGGAGTAAATATAGCCACGCCCGACATTTTAGAAACCCGGTACGCGTTTCAAATAGATTAATTATAGGTCTGAAGCGCGAAGAAAACCACTGCCCTGTCGCCGCTTTCCCGCAGAGTGTGTGTTCTTAAATATCGCGCTGCCGCATGTTAAGATAATATAGAAGTAACAAGTTACCTCTCGAAAAATGCTAGGACCTTCTCCAGATCTAGATTTTTTTTGTGAAAAGAAAGGCGGAAGGCTTTTGTTGCTATTGTTAGAATATTGGTTCGAATTGGCGTTTGGATAGGGCTGGTGCATTAGCCTCAAAGTCAAAGTTACATACATTTTCGCTTATATTGGTTAATCTAACCACCCAAACTTATATACTAAATGACGCAGAAAATGCAACATCAACTACGAGCGCTGTAATTTAATACTTTTACAAGTTTTAGGTCTACTGATAAATAGAAAGTGATTAAAATTTTTGCTCACAATTTCACAAAATAGCTGAAGTATCACACCTTAATGTCAATAATGTGTTGAAGCATCTCTGTTCATTACACATTCGTTAAGTCGTCGCGGCATTTATTGGATTAGGTGATTGATGTCTTCTTGGTGTATTGTATCCCAGGCCATCTGAATTTGGTTTCGTAGAGCCTCCAATGTTTTTGGAGGGTGCGGTGAATTTTGCAACCTTCTTACCATCTTGTCCCATGCATGTTCGATGGGGGAAAGGTCTGGACATCCAAGAGGCCACTGAAGCAGATTTACTCCGGACGCTTCTAAAAAGTCTAAACTAACACTTGCGACATGAGATTGTGCATTGTCCTGATGAAAAAGTGGATGTTGCAATGTTACTAAAAAGGGAAGCAGATCTGGTTGTGAAACTTCATAGATAGAGCTCTGATCAGTCATGCTACATCGAATGAAGACTAATCGTGACCTGGTGCCATAAGCAATGGTACCCCATAGCATAACACCCACAATGCGATTAATATGCCGTTCGATGGAATATTGGACCTTCACCACGTCTCCTCCTTACTCTTGCACGGCGTTCATGTGTGCCCAAGCAGAGTCTGGGCTCATCACTGAACACGACTGAGTTCCATTCCATATGACATTCAAGTCTCTCCCTAGTCAATACCAATCGTTGCCGACGATGTTGTGGGGTCAAGGGTAGTACAAGATGGGGACGGTATGAAACCAGTCCAAAAGACCTTATTCGGCGGTAAACTGTCCTCATTATTATCGCTCTTCCGACAGCATCAAGCCACTGGTTCGCAGCTGCTCTTGTTGTGGAAAATCGATCTCTAAGTGCTAGTTGCCTCAAATCACGATCATATCGCTCTGTAGTCTATCTTTGACGTCCAATACCTCTAACTTGTCGATTTCTGTCTTCTTGAAACCACGCTGGACAACATCTCATCACATTAGCTTCATTTCGATCCACACGATTAGCGATTTCTCTAAAATTAAATCCGGCTTCACGTAACCCGATTGACCGACCCCTCTCAAACTCGGAAAGTTGAGCGAAATTAGCGCGTCTGTGAACTCTAGGCATGATAATGCAATGAAACAACAATGAGACAAATGGAACCAACACAGAAAAATTACTGAATATTAAGTAAACATGTTCATATCGTACGGATCCTGATATACCAAAAAAAGCCTTTACAAAGAAGCACGGATCGGAATGCTTCAACATTTCATCAGCGTATTCTTCCATGATAGCAAATAGGTATATTTACAAGTTTTTATCAAAATTCAATAAATAATTCTGGATGTTGCATTTTATATGTCACTTAGTAAATATACTAGGTGACATATAAATCCGAACACCCAGTTTAAATGGTTTTATTTTAATAAAAGTTGGTGAATGTATTTATCTTACTGTAAATAACAAGTGAAAAAATTTTCAGCCTTATCAGTTGGACATTTCGGTTTTTATACTGCTTTTTTTTAATTCACTAACGCTCTAAAAATGAATATTTCAGCCGCAGTAAAGAATCAAGTTTGGCGGATTTTGGTTCTTGTCATCCTTTACGATCGGTTACGATGCCTAGAGTACGGAGACCTGTACGATTTCGTCAACTTAGTAAGTTTGATAGGGGCCGTATAGTGGGACTTCGGGAAGCTGGACTTTCTTTTCGGGCAATTGCAGTTAGAGTGCAAAGAAGTGTAGACACTGTGGTTAGCTGTTGTCAGGCATGGCTTCGAGAAGGCCGTGCGCAAAGAGCAAGGGGCACTGGACGCCGCCGTAGAACAACAGACCGTGAAGATCGCCGCCTAAGATTATTGAGTGGTGCAGACAACGGTCACTCTGGGATCAGGAATGGAACAGTATTGTCTTTAGTGACAAGTCTCGATTTTGTTTAGGCATGCACGATGGTCGTGCCAGGGTTAGAAGGCGACGTGGTGAAAGGAGGAATCCACAGTTTTTTGTTGAAAGACATGTTCATCACACTGTTGGAGTTATGGTTTGGGGTGCTATAGCTTATGGTTCCAGGTCACCTTTAATCTTCATCAGAGGTAACATGAACGCGCAGCGTTATATCCACGAAGTTCTAGAACCCCATCTTTTACCCTATCTTGACACCCTGGCAGATCCAACTTTCCAATAAGATAATGCCCGACCACATGTTGCAAGAGTCACAATAGACTTCTTTCAACATAATGATGTCACATTATACCATGGCCACCAAGATCTCCCGACTTATCCCCAATTGAGCACGTGTGGGATATGATGGGTAGGAGATTACTCAATTTGCAACGTCCTCCTCAGACTATAGAACCACCTCGAGAGGAGTTGGTGGTTGCCTGGAATGAGATACCACAGGAGGACATTGACCACCTGATCAGAAGCATGCCTAGACGCGTTGGAGAATGCGTAGCACATCAGGGTGCATCCACACATTATTAAAGGTCAAAGGGCTTTAAAGCAGTGCAATCATTTTGAAATTTTTATCATTTACTTATTATGCTTCATTAAGTTCTTATACAAAATTTTATTAAAATAAAACCATTTAAACTGGGTGTTCGGATTTATATGTCACTTAGTATATGTTGTACTTTTATCATCAAGTTCTTGGTACTTGAAATAATAGTAAGGATGTTTTTAACAGTTTTCAAACTTACACCACTTGTCCCTCGAGAATCGTTTTCGTAGTAAATACAACGGAAGAGAACTTATATCTACTAAGTTTTTATTTACCTTCTCATCATCATTCATACATGACAGTTGAAGAATATAAAAATATACTGAATATTTTGGAAAATGTACATTTTGTATATCTGAATGCTCTGTATAAAAAACCAGTTTGACCAGTAAATAGTTGTGTTGAAGGTCATTGTAACAGTAGATTTTGATAACTAAATCCAGTAGGTAAAGATTGTCATCCTAAACAATGAGACACTAAATTAGCATATGATGTAAAATAACATAGTCTCGTCCCCATTTCACGATACTGATTCCGAATTTTTGAGAAGCGCTTGGAGAAAATTTTGGAAATTTCGCTTGATAAGAAACTTCCCGACAAATAGCGTTTAGTATACGTACCTATTGTTTGGAGCAAATAAAAAGAACGCTATTAATTTCTGGTACGATTTGATGTCAAATATCAATGATCAAAATGCTAAACAAATTTCGGAAATTCTAGTGAATAAGCATTGTGTAGGACATGTCCCATGGCTTAACAGATGTGCATAAAGCACTGCAGTTCTATGCTTTGTGAATGTCCAGACCACATATTGTGCCAGTGTTTAGTAGCTCACAAGCAATTATATATTAAATTCTTCCATCTACTGACACTGTTGGAAAATCCCACAGGGTAATTACGTAAAAACGTCAAAAAAATCAGTAAAATGCCAACTTGTGCACTAGGTAGCCGCTAGTATGCCGCTGGTTCAAATCATCGTTCAAATTCCGTAAAGGCTGTTTCTCTTCACGCTGCAATACCTACATCAGAATACGTTCAAAAAACTTTTCGATATATAAATGTTCTCTCATGCACAGTTCCTTTTACAAACCATTCAGCTACGGATGTTGCCAAAAGATATTAGATATTAGTGAGTAATTAAACAATATTTGGAAGTCATGCATCCGTCAGTTTATATCTAACACACGGAGGTTTCAGTTGATAACACGGTAGGATATTAAACTAAAAATAACAATAATGGAATAAATACGGATGTTATAATTATCCATTAGCCGAGGTGATAACTGATAAGAGAAAATTATACGGATTAGAAACGGAACTTTAATCACAGTTTGATAACACAAAAAATATTCACTTATCAGTATTTTCCTATGTAACTATATCTAGTATACGTGATATCTGAATAATTATATTACCATTTAATAATATAAATAAAAAATGTTTTGAAAGTGTAGCATAGATATGACTAGGGCTGAATTAAGCTAGTACGAAAATATAAACATACACGCATATGCTTTAATGAAACAAGTAAGTAATTGATAAATCACCTGATGCAACAACACGTCTGCTTTATAAAGATGAGGTGAGAGCTACGTTGCACGTATACGAGGTCTGTAAATTGAGTGTAATGAGACTGTTTTTCTTTTAACCAAATATAATTACAATTTAATAGTCACCTTCAAAATAACTTCCCTCACAATCCACACAGCACTGGAGACGGTTCTTCCACTCCTCATAGCAGTGCTGGAACTCCGATACTGGAATAGCCTTCAGCTGGTGGGTTACAGACATTTGAATGTTTTCGACTGTCCCAAAATGAGTTCCCGAGTGATGACTTTTCAAGTTCGGAAAGTAAAAAAGTCACAAGGACTCAAGTCAGAAGAATAAGGAGGCTGAGGATCCACAGGAATGTTTTTACTGGTCAAAAACTCGTTCACTGACATTGATGTGTGACAAGGAGCATTATGGTGATGCTAGACCCAGTTGTTCTTAATGTTTGGTCTCACATGAATTGCCCTTTTTCGACGTTTTCCAAAAACGTCCCGGTAAAAGTGTAGACCATTTGGCATTGAGGTAGAAGCTCTTCGAGGGAAATTACGTGGATATCGAAAAAACAAATCAACATAGAGGTTGGAGTGGGCCACTCCATGCTCTGGCGCTTGGTTTCCGGGTCGTACGCAAATATCCAAGACTCGTCACCAGTAATGACACGTTCCAGGAGATGGGGGTCATTTTCAATCGAATCCAAAAAGTCAAGTTACATTTCCTTCCAGATCTCATTTTGGTCTTGCGAACGCTTTTTTAGATCCATTTTTGCGAAGATTTTTCTCATTCCCAATTCACTAGTAAATGTCTGATGAACGGTGGTGTGAGTCCAACTCAACTCTTCCTCAGTCATTCTGACTGTCAACCGATGATCTAAACCCACAAGATCCCTAATTCTGTCGGTTCTTGAAGATGAAGGCATTCCGCTTCGTGATTCGTCTTCAATCGAGTCTCTCCCTTCTGAAAATACCTGAAGCCACCAAAGGTCTGGGCTCTTGATAACACATGTAGGCCTGCTGAAGCTTAGAAAGAGAGTTTCCGATGTGCTGTACTCTGAAGCAAAACCTGATAGCACACCGTTGCTCGAATTTGATATCACTCATTTTTAGAACACAATATAAACAACAACCAAATGACTCGAGCGAGTTCAAACTTGTACTGAAGGCGGATCACATGCTCACCTGTTTCCCCTCCAAACCCGGGCGTCTCCAGTCTTTCCAGGTCAAGCGCTATGTTGCCAGTCTCATTACTCAAGTTATAGATCTCGTAGAATGGCAGAGGAAGATAGCAGATAAGCCGTTGCAATTCGCAGAAAAGTTTTCATTCAAAAGATTATCCACAGTTTTGTGCTTTTTTGAGCAAAATTATTTATGACTAGTCCGAGTGCTTCATTTATGGTGCCCATAATATGTTCAATATTTCAGAACAATACTGCATTTAATGGAGATTACTACTTAGTACACTTCTGATAGAGATCATTTAGAACACTTTTTCTTGAATTTCTCATCGATTAATGGCTAAGGGTTCAATTTTTAGGGGTTGTTGGTAAAAACCGCTCCTTAACATAAAGGCGAACTCGAACATGCTAATTTCAGATTTATCATTATTTTCGATCTCCGAGTGTGATTTTGAGGATTTTTTCCAAATCCAAATCAAAATTTTGTATTGAGGATTAAATTTGAGCAGATTAAGCAGGCCATGTTTGGTGTGATATTCACTAAATCGAGACTGAAAAATTCAATGGTTATTTACGACTACCGAGCTCTACATATGAATTTTTGAGAGGTCAAGTCGGTCATCCAAATTGTTTGCCAGATGAAAAAACACTTCTATAGTTCCCGTGCAAGGTGGGTTCTTAATTTTGATGTTGCTGTGAACCTGGAAAAGGCAAATTTAGTTCAAATTTTGGGTGTATCAATGAGCATTAATAGACGGTTTTTGAAGCATTTCAACTAGTTGAAAAGGGACGATACACTCTGAAAATATCATTTAATTGTTTAGCACGCTGGAGGCCCTACAATCTTATATTTCATGTAGAACGCGGTTCTAAACCTTTTACCTTTGTTGTTTTTCGAAAAACTTTGTCACTTTAAAAAAAACGTATAAAAAAGGCATGCATTGCAGCTGTTTTATTTGAAGCTATCGAAAATTGAAAATTTTGTTATGAGATTAAACACCAGACTTAATAACAGGTAAATATTTAGAACAACGATGATGTAATAGGAAAGCAAGCAACTTAAAAATAGAAAAAACACACAATCTGCAGAGATTGAGTTACAGAAATTGATCATCATTTTCTCTCAACCATAAATTTACTCTTCGTCGGATATTAAGGACTACTGTATCCAGTAATTGCTGATCATTTCTAATAAGTGCATTTAGCTGCAATTCAAATCTATACGTATAATTTGGCTTGAAATGCAATCAACTGCCGAAAAGTACACAGATTAGCGATTTCCAAAAAAGAAGTTACGTTTGTTGAGGTCTGATGATCGTGGAGACGAAGCTTGTGGACACTTATTCCCTCTTCTAGTCCATTTATTTGGATGCTGCTTGTTCAAAACCCTCTAACTGTACTACTAGAATGAGACGGTGCTCCATCCTTCATCTCGTCAACTAAATTCGGGAGAAAAAATCTTGCGGCAAAAATGCTTGCATCACTTTTTTGATACGATTGAAGAATAGATTATGTTTTATAACTAGGCACAGAGAAGTATGCGATATACCAGTTTAAAGAGATAGACTTTTAGTATTAATATGTGGGTCATCTTCAATTCATTCAATATAAGTTCATCTTGAGCTCTAAAAAACTTCTCTCGTCTTTTAACAATGCTTTTCAATGAGGAGTTACACAATTGGGAAATCTTCTCCCCGATGTACTTCATCACTTCTCTTAGCGTTTCCTTTACAGAAATCTATCAATAATACCATGTCAGCTTATCCACCGAATGAAAATTTCTTCAACAATTTTACAACATACAACACTCAGCTAAAATCAAATAATCTATTTTCTTGATTTTCAAGTCTGATGTTTAATTACATAGCCAACGTTTGAATTTTCGATAATATTAAATAACGCAACTTCAAAACGTCTATTTTCATTTATTCGCGCTTTTGTTGAAAACAACAAAGGTTTTTGAAAATAACAAGGTTAGAAAAATATTGAAACCACATACTAATACATAATAAATTAATGATTTTTCCAGTTCGCCAAAGTGTTAAAAACTTCAGTCACTTTTCAACCATTTGAAATGCTTTGATCAAACTTTAATTACTGTCGGTTCATGTCCTTTGCTACACTCAAAAACGTGTACCAAATTTTCAAAAATAACTGAGTTGTTAATTTTTTTGAAATTGGAAGCTCCACTCCGCAAAGTTGGGGTTTTCCTTTACACGACGTGTAGATCTTAAAAACATAAGCAATTTTTCTTAGTTCCATATACACCAATGTCTTACGGGAACCGAGATAAAGGGCTCTGCAACATCAAAAATATCTGAATACCGTCCTGTAGCCGCGACCCGCGATATCTCAGACTGGTACCGGCTACTAGCTGAACCCGACGACAGAACTGGGTCGGGGATCGGGGTCAGTGTGTCAGGTCAGTATGCAACCTTCAACCGACGGTAAAGGGTCACGCGTATAGAGGTAACGAACCCGTATAATCGATTGCGTTTCAAAAAAAAAATAATAATGGCACACTCATACACCAATAATGGCGAATGTCTTCAAAATGATACAGAATCGTCGCGAGTGTATGCAGATCGTTTCCCTAGACGACATCATCCCCGCAGATTTGTGTACCTGGTCCAGAGAGTCAGGGATACGGGCCATTTGGAGGAATGTCGAGGTGGACACAGTGGGAGGCCTAGACAACCACGAATGGTGCAAGTTTAGGAAGAAGTACTGAATCGCGTAGACGAGAGTCCCTCAGCAAGCACTAGAGACGTGGCTAGAGACGTGCAAGTATCAAAAACTAAAGTGTGGCAAACGTCCAACATGTACAAGCCCTTCAACCTGACGATTTTCCAGCAAGCGTGCGGTTTTGTGAGTGGTTGTTGCATCAACATGACAATAATCCGGACTTTTTGAAGTGCATATTGGTGACAGTCGAATCTACGTTCACGCGTAGTGGGGTGAATAACTTTCGATTTCAGGCAGAGACGTACTTAGCCCTTCTCGTCAACTGGCGAGTGAGTACTTTTTCCTTTATTTTTTTTTACTTGGTCGCCCTCGTTTCACTACACATTACCTTTGTTATTTCAAGGGTAGTTGTTTCTGAAAAGGAAAACCCCAACTTTGCGGACACCCTGTATAACCTATAACTTTTCGGGGTACAATTTAGTATACAAGGTGATTCATATGCGACTCTCATCATTAGGATCTCGGAGACTGTAACAGATACAAAGACGCTTAATGGGGACGAAATTGCGTAGTTAGATAATCAACAAAATGCCGCTTAGGTTTCGAAATTTAAAGTACTACCGGAGAGAGACGGGAAAGACCTAATTTTTCTAAAACGATTTTAATTTTTTCCTGACTTTATTTGTAGTGGAATGTCTCCTCTACAAGAAGGCATACTTAGAATTTCAATATGACGTTTTGTCACTTGTCCTCCAGCATCAACTTTATCTTTTCTTGTAGGCGACATATTGGATTTTGGTACAGATGAATAGAGTTTTTAATTCTTATTCCAAAAATGTATAGTACGTCATACATTGACATTGGCAATCCTGAGTTATTTAAAAAAAACAGAACTTTCTAGGTAGGCCCTGATATTATCGGATAGGGGAAAGTGGGGTAATTGGGAACAGCGGGTAAATGGGAACAGCTAAGTATCAGGTACTTCCCCCCGCACTACTGCGTCGAGCACATGTTGAATAAACGAGTCAAGCGGCACTTAGGCCCGTATCGTCAGTCGTCCCTACAATTGTAGGGCGCGTTTATGCCCTCCTTGATTGTCATAGTTTTCTACTTCTCCGTGTCAGCCCTCTATTTTGAGGTTATGTCACAAACATCTATTTGCATCAAATTGTGCTTGCTTTTGAGTTATATCATGTTTTATTAGCCTGAAATTTCCTACAATTTAAAAAGAAAACATATCTTCACAATGGGACAGCGCTGACGCTGACGCGGGTCAGGTGCAATCTAGACATTTTTTAAGGAGAGAAAGGAGTATGACAATCAATGAGGCCATAAACGCGCCCTACAATTATAGGGACGACTGACGATACGGGCCTTAGTAAGCCCCGAAAGGTGTAAGTGAGAGGTTGCGCGCATGTTGTCACGGTGAGTCTGACAAAATATTTTGTAATTTTGTCATAATTTTCGTCGTATCTGGTGATCGATAATGTATTGAGATTTAGGTATTGATCGACATCCTTATTCTGTTACCATCTTGCATGTAGCACTTGCTAATAGACTCCACTTAGTTTCAAGGTTAACAGCTATTCTGTATTGTGTAGCGGCCATTTTGATTTGAACTGACTACTTCGGGTAATTGGAAACGAAGACAAGAGGGTAAGTGGGAACGTTCGTAATTACCTCTATTAGCTGGCTGATCATGTAGTACTCTTCTAATATCAGATAGTTATTTTAGATGCCTCGAAATTACGTAAGAAAAACCACGCCCAAGTATGACATTGAGGATCTTCGTCGTGGAGCTGAAGATGTTAGAAGCAAAAGGAGCATTCTGGGAGAAACTGCTACCAAATTTTCGGTACCTAAAACTACATTATTTAAACAAGTAAAATCAGAAACATTTAAGTTGCCAAAAAAAGGTCGGCACTCTGTATTTAATCAAGATCAATAAGACCAGTTAGAAAGATAGATAATCGGTTGCTGCAAGACTTTTTATGGCATAACCCCAAAATCACTACGAAGTATTGCTTATAGATTTGCTGAAGCTAACAAATTAAATCACGGATTCAACAAAGAATTCCAATTAGCAGGCAAAGACTGGTATTATTCCTTCTTGTCTAGACATCCTACCGTCACCCTACGAACTCCAGAAGCTACTTTGCTTAACAGAATAACCGCTTTTAATGCCACTGAAGTGAAACTATTTTTTGACCAACTAGAAGCCCTGCAAACAGAACACAATTTTTCTATTCATCGAATTTTTAATATTGACGAAACAGGCATTAGCACTGTTCAGAAAAATTCTAAAATTTTAACTCCAAAAGGCTTACAACAAGTAGCAAAAGCGACAAGTGGAGAGCGCGGTGTTACAACAACCATTGTTTGTGCTAATGGTTTGTGCCAATGGTACGTATGTACCCCCTATGTTCATCTTCAAAAGAAAATCAATGAGCGAGCTATTACTGAAGGGCTGTAATAGAGATATGATTGCCACAGTTTCTGATTCTGGTTCGATAATATATCAATATTTGTTCATTATCTGCAGCACTTCATTTCTTTTATTAGACCAACAAAAGAAGATCCAGTTTTAATTGTACTCGATAATCACGAGAGTCATATTAGCCTTGGAGCATACAAGCTTTTTCGAGAACACAACCTGCATGTCATTTCCTTTCCACCTCATGTATCTTACAAAATGCAGCCACTGGATATGACTGTCTTCAATTCAATAAAGAATGCATGCAGTCGGCAATGTCAACTCTATATGGCTAACAATCCTGGAAAACGAATAACCCAGTACGAGGTTGGAGAATTATTCACAAAGGCGTACATCGAAACAGCTAACGTAAGCAAGGGCGGCAGTGGATTTAGGGTGGCTGGAATTTATCCTACTGATCCAAATAAATTCAAAGAATGCTTCGAAAATTTATCACGAAATGCTTTTGACGTCAGTCAGACTCCAGAATCAGGACCTACAACCGAACCTAGTTTGAACAGACACGTTGATCCTAGTGCCATTCAAACATCTACTCAAAATGATACATCAATTCCTAGAATCGAAACTGATTTAGATGTTACTTTATCCACCTCTGTGCCTCTTGATGAAATCATGAATATACCTGTCGTTCCTCAAACAGGAACGTCTTCCAAGCGCCGAAATAAGAAGCATTCCCAAATTTTGTCCAGTACACCTATTAAATATCAATTAGAGGAAAAACAGAAAAGACAAACTGAGACGACAATCAAAAAAGAAAAAGTGGCAATAAAAAGATCAGAAAAACATCATAAAGCTGAGGAAATGTTAAAGGCAAGGGAGTGAAAAATTTGACGAAAGACTTAGAGGATAATGAAAATAAAGAAGTTTAATAATAATGTATAATTTGCGGTGAAAAATATGAATCACCACCTAGAGAAGATAGGATCATGTGCGTCATTTGTACCAACTGAGCACATCAGGAATGTACCACCGGCCAATCTAGTAAGTAAGGGTTACATTTGTGATTGATGCAAGTAATTGTAGTATTCTTAAGAATGTAACTATGTCGCTTCGAATAACCTTATATCGTTCCTATTTCCCCCACGGACTGATCTCAATTGCCCCACCCCATATCGGGTAAAAAGGAATGACAGTATTTTTTATTTTCTATTTTTTTTATTGTGTACTTTGTTTTTAAGCATTTGAGTAACGTTATTTTGTAAGTAAATCATCAAACTTACTATTGCAATAAATTTTTATTACATTTGTAACGCTTTTTTATTATTTTTTGTTGTCTTAAAGTACCAGAGGTATATCAAAATCACTTTTACTTTTTCCTGACGTTATTCGAGAAAGGATTTCAAAATAAATTACATGTTGTCACTGTTACTTATTCTCCTCTACAAGTTGGCGTAGTCAAATTTTCAATTCAACAATTACTTCTTTCGACTCCCATTACCAACTATGTTTCTTCATATCGACGCTATATTGGAATTTGTTGTTGAATGGTAAATTATAAGTAAATACAAAGGTATGGTAAAACCTGAACAAATAATGTAAATTTGATTAATGGTAATAATAATAATAATCATAAATAAACAGGGGTAAATCATGACAGATGTTCAAAAGATTGTCGGTTATTTTGTAGGCAAAGCCTGACTCTTCTCTGTATATTATTTTCTGTTCGATTTATTTCTCTCCTTCTGTCTTTCAAACTCTGTTGCTATGTTCAAGTTGAGGTCTGATCAAGTATATATATAGGCTGACCTAGGAACTGCAGTTTTTCTGGAATAACTAAGGTTTAGCAATGTCAATGACATATTATACGTTTTTGAGATCAGAATTAAAAACTCTATTCGTCTGCGCAAAAATCCAATATTGCGTGGATGAAAAAAAAAATGTCGTTGATGCTGAAGGACAAGATACGGAAGGTCATTTTATAATTGGAATCCCATCTGAAAAGTAAGTCAGATAAAATTAATGTAATTTTTTGATAAAGGAGGAAATTCTGCTTTTTTAAATAACTAAGGTTTGGCAACGTCAATGTATGACGTTTTATACATTTTGGAAATCAGAACTGAAAACTTCATTCATTTGTGCAAAAATCCTATAAGGCATCCTTAAGAAAAAATAAAGTTGATGCTGGAGGACAAGAGACGAAACGTCATATTGAAATTCTAATGGTGCTATAGAAGAAGTTTAGAACTGATTTCTGCACTATCATTCGTATTGTTTTCAACTATTATTAATTTATCACTGTTGTGGATTTAGAACATCATACTCTTAATCAAGTGAAGTATAGACTTAGTTTGTTGCAAGGATTATATTTCTCTCCACAAACTTAGCAGCAAATGCAGCCCATGCTGACAACCGAACAAATTTTACAAACACGTTCTATGACAGCCGGTATATCTGGGATTTAAAATTGCTCGCCAATATAATATCTACTTTCCTCGCCTATTAGCGTGGTAAAATCAACATGGCCTTTCGTAGGGGAAAATCTATCAGTCCATAGCTTGTTTCCTATATAGCCAAACAGAGAAGGATCGTGTGGAGGTAGCGAGTAACAAAATCTTGGTGATTATGTTTCTGTTTTGGAAATACAGCGTACGTGCAAGTGTAACCAAACCAGCAGTGTTTGGAAAATTATATATCGCGTCAGTTCTACCATTCATCAGAAAACCTGGACTAGATACGTCTCGCATTTCAGCCAAATGAACTGCAACACAAAAAAAGCAAGTAAACTTCACTCTACATCGTACAATCTCTGACAGAAATTCGGTGATTTTCAAACGCGTAGATACTGTTACACCCTTTTTGATACAGCTGATTTATTTACTAACTGGCATTGCTTGTTCTGCTAATGCAGACCGTATAATCCATAGCTGAGGTACATACAGAGGCGAGATAAGTTTGGGGCAGTAAACTAAAGATGGCCTCTAACTCCATAAAAAACTGAATAATATACATATGTTCGTCGAAATAAGAAAGCACAAAGTGCCAGAATCGACGACTGCGAAAGTGGAAACAGAAAGATGTCAGCTGGAATTATATTCCAGTTCGCATTGCCAGCCGGGTAACTAGAACTAGAACTAGAACATACGGTCTACTCACCATTGAACAATCTAGTAGCATAGCTTTCGTTTGTTCGACCACAGACGGCCAGCCATAGACAGCTAGTTCGTCCTATTTGAGAACTTCTCAGGATGGTGTAGGCTTTGTCTCGATGGACAGCAGACGAAACCTGAGCAGAGCGACACTATTCGAAGAAAAAGGTCTATCGAAAAAGTACCATCTATTACCAGAATCGACCACTGCGAAAGTGAAAACATTAAGCTGTCGGTATATCAGTTCGCATTTCGGCTGCCTGTCATCAATTCTGGCGCTAAAGTAGATACAGTCTACTAGCCATTGAGCAGAATAGAGTTGCTGGTTTTCGTTCGCACTAAGCAGCTGTTTTTATATATTGAACATTTTATTCTATTTAATTTTGAATTTTTTTCCACAACCATTACAGAAACCACCTTCTCAAAACAGTTACCTAAAGAATGGTAATAAATAGGTTGGCTCTATATTGTACAAATCATGCACTGCTTTTAACAGTTCAAAAAATTTATGATAATAATGATACTAACGAAATCATATTATAAAATGTCCATGATTTTTTGCTTGCTACGCGACTGGTGAGGAAGCATTGTAATCGCGAAAAATTTCGAAAATGGGGCATTATTTTTTTGGATGTTATATGACATATCACAAAAAAACATGTACCTCATTTCCATCGGTCTGTCTGTCCGCTAATTCTTGGCCCATCTAGAGCCTGTTTGTTATTCATTTACGTTTATGTCATTACATTTCTGTCACATGTACAAGGTGACCCAAACATACTCGTATATGGAGTAGATATTGCTCTGAGTCACAAACTTCTTCGAAAATCGTTTAGGATGGTTCTGCATGTTTCAAATAAAAAATGTTCGGAATTCTACGGGGTATTATTGTAAAGTTGTTTTTTATAGAGATCCATACCTTTATTACATATTTGGGTAACCCCTGGTACTTCTGCAGTTTTTCCAGTTTTTCTACTGTTTTAAAAAACATGAATTTTTATACCCATTCCATGAATTATTCACATCAATTAGTTGTATAGCATTCGCAAAAACATATAATTCCTTAAGACATTAAAGAGGACAGCCAGTGTATTTTCACATTCTCAAAACCTACTATTTGTATGTTGTTTTTAGATATCTAGCCAAGTGTGATTTTGATACGAAATTGGGAGAGTCTGTTCGAAAATGCAACTTTTGCACTCTATCCATTCAAGTGGTCCAAATATTTAGGTCTACCTTAGTATGTGATAATAAATATGCAATATACGAAAATAAATTTGTTATCTAGCCCAGTCGTGGGCAGTATCCTAAACATGTTATTAATGTATTCCAAAAGGACAATGTATAATCATCCTAAACATTTTTTGAAAAAGTTTGTCTCGGGATCCATCCCTGCAAGTTTAGGCCACCCAATACATGTAATAGAATTATGATATTGGTTAACCAGCTACCAGGGATGATAATAAGAATGAAAATAAATATCAAATAGCTGCTACGTATCGAGAATGGAAAAAAATTGCTGTCGTACGGCAATATAGTGCAAAAATCGAAGTCTAAGAAAATTGAGTTCAGAAGTCTGGATCTTTTCGGTCTAAATATCATTACGACAGAACAAAAGTGAATGACTATTGCGAAGTCACATGACTTTATATAAACTCATTAAAATGTG